TCAAAATAAACCTTTAAAAACAATATACTACTTGAATGATTTAAAGAACACATTTAAATAGTTGGGGAAAGGAGTCAAGACTGTGCATTTTCATTTGAAGGCTCTGAATTTGAATTTATAATTTTATAATTGTGAAGGATGGGAATCTGAAAGCCTTCCTGCCTCCTAAATACCTCTTCCTGGATACATGATGGGTATGTCTTAAACGCATTACTCACTGTGGACACTTCTAGAAACAAGAATCTCTGGCAGAGATTTTCTATTTGAGGAATTACTTTAACCCCACAGACAAAAGGGTGAACTCTGATGGCCATCAACACTCCTGAATGAAAATAAAAGACTGGTTACAAGGGACGCAAGAGAAATGTTGACTTTTATACTTGGGATGCTTTTAGTTGTCATTTATTTTTCTCACCTCACTTTTCACATTTTTATGTGAAGATAAATCTCTGAGGGAATTATGTGAAAATCTTCACTTCTGTCATCTGATTTATGATTTCAGGTGAAGCCCAGCTCTACACAAATCCAGTATGAGTATCAGCCAGTGTTTTGAAACTTGGAGGTAAGATATGAAGTATTTCAATTCAAAGAAGGGGCAGGGGGGAGACAAATTCAAGTCCATCAGCAAGGAACCAAAGAATGCCCTCAACCTCCAAAAAATGGTCATCAGAGACTGAGATTTGTGATAAGAATTGGATATATGATCAAAACCTCATTATTGGATGTAAGAGAAAACCTGTACACATAGTCATTAATGTAGAGAAGGCAGCTGCAATTATATGTGTGCATGAGTGTTGTGTTGCTTTAGACTTTTTGTGACTCTCTGGATTGCAGTCCACCAGGCTCCTCTGCCCATGGGATACTCCAGGCAAGACTACTGGAGTGAGTGGCCATGCCATGTCCTCCAGGAAATCTTCCCAACCCAGGGATAGAACCCAGGTCTCTTACGTCTCCTACATCGGTAGGCAGGTTCTTTACCACTAGCGCCACCTGGAAAGCCCTTTCAATTATACGTGACTAGCATTTTCGGCCTTCCAATTCTTCCTACTATGGATTCATAACTCAACTTGAACTACAACTGTCCAGAGACCTAAATCACTGGGGATCCTGTGACTTGTCAGCAGCCAGATGCCAACGCTCCTAGATGCTCTGGCCCAGGTCCTGTTGTCTGGCTCTCAGAGGAGATGTATTTCCAGTAAGTTTTGTATTTTCCTTTACTTTTTAACACTGTCCCGACTAATTGCAGAGAAATCAATGGAACCCTGAACTGTTGCTAAGACTGACTTGATCAAAGTAGCTCTTTGCTCCGTATTGACAGCTCATTATTGAATAGGAAATTGCCCATTCCATCAACCTCTCTGTAGCCATTAACTCAATTTGACTGGATTAACTGGTTCTACACGGAAGCCTCTAGAGAGGCATCAAGTCTGGGGTCTTTGTTGTCTCATGGAGGAAAAACTAAACACGTCTCCTCTTTTAGGCTTCTGCCCCCTAGAAATTAAAATGTTGACTTGACACTGGCCTATGGTGAGGTCTGGGCATGTGTGTCGTCTTCTTAACTTCTGCTTCTAGAGTTTATTTTAAAATCACACTTGCTTCATTTACGACGACGGTCACAATGAGCTCTTTTCTATTCGAGCCTGGTTTTAGTTAGACACCCGACCAAGCAGGCCCTCCTCCTCCTCCTCCTTAGCATTTGTGCTTTCCCTTTATGTGAGAGCATTTGGCTCGGAGAAGGATGTTCTGTTTCAGGGGACTGGAGTCTTTCTTTCTGAGCAGAACGCTTTCAGCTCTCTGTACACCAGGCCCCAGGGGCTGTTGATGGGGATGACTAGGGCCATGCCTGCCACATTAAAGAAGCATCCTCCTAGTGTATAATTAACTTTATCTGCTTGGCTGTGGCGATGCTCGCTTTTAATTACATGCACTTTCAGCTTTTTCATTGAATTTTCAAACACGTGATGTGAGAGGCGGCCTGACTGCGGGTTCCCCGGGTAAGACTGAGATGGGTTTATGCAGGTGCAGTTACCTCGGCTGCTGCCACGGCCGCTGCTGGTGGGGAGCTCAGAGGACGCTACTTCACCAGGAGCATCGGCTCAGAACACCCCACCTTCCAGTGTTACTGCAGCACAATGGTCAAACCACGTAGCATACTCATTTCTCCCGCGCTAAACAACACCTCTGCACAGGAGCGTTTTGGAGGAAGAAGACAGCTTACAAAATGCTCTCATTCCTGGAGCTGGTTATCAGGTTTTGAGTAACTGATGTAACCAATATCAGCTTAATTTTTGATGACTAGAAGCCACTTGCACACAGCAGGGAGTGTCAAATGTGTCACACGGCATGACACTTTTCACACAGCCTCCCCATTAGTATATTGATTTCTTGAACAAAAATTTATAAGCTCCTACTATGTGCCGAGCAGTGATCTGGGTGCCTACAGAAAGTTAAGGCAGTGATCTACAGGACAGACCAGTAGATGCTACATTTATGGAGCTTCTGTTCTAGTGGAGAAGGAATGGGAGTGGCAAATCAACAACAAACCACTAAGTAAATTATTCAGACAGTGGTCAGAATAGTGCGATAAACACATTCATGGGATAGATGGCAAAGTGAAAGTGTTAGCCACTCAGTCATGCCGGCTGTTTGCAACCACATGGTCCATAACCCACCAGGTTCTTCTGTCCAGGGAATTCTCCAGGCAAGAAAACTAGAGTGGGTAGCCATTCCCTTCTCCAGGGGATCTTTCTGACCCAGGGATTGAACTTGGGTCTCCCACATTGCAGGCAGTTTCTTCACCATCTGAGCCACCGGGGAAGAGATGGTAAAGAAAGGCTTTTTTGGTGAACCGACGTTTAGGGTGAGATCAACATGAGGGGCTTCCTTTAAGGAAGTTACCTTGTGCCACCTTTCTTAGTGTCATTAGTAATCACCTTCCTTTATATATAACATAAGGAGTGATGAAATGTGATAACTTTTTAATTTCCTCTTCCCAGCTTAAAAATAACAATATTGATAGGAAAAAGCAGAGATTCACAACTGGCCTGGGTAGTTGTTGGGAACATAATAGGTAAGTCTTCAGAGTAGCCAGACTCCCATTTCTAGTGAATTGCTCAGTTATATCAATATCAATCCTGTTTCCTGTCATATTTCTCATTCCACCCATAGCCCCCTCTGGAAAGACTGCCCTAGGGGGACACACGACATCCCACGTGAACTGTGGATGGCCTAGGAGATGCCCTGGTGTGACCAGTTCTGTCCTGAAGGAAAGACACAGGGCACCCAGCAACCACAGCATGAAATAGGCAGTGCAGGCAGAGTGGCCACGATCAGTCAGAAAGTTAAGTAGGAGCTGAAACCACGGCCAGAAGGAGCAGGACGAAGGGCTGCATGTCCTACAGAGCCAAGGCCGCAGACGGTGGTATGAGAAGAGCAGAAAGACAGGCAAGAGTGGTGTCACAAACGAGCGCAGCACACCGGAATGAACAGTCATCAGCCAGGTCCAGGGAAGGACCAAGGGCAGCCTTAGGACCAGGGCTAAGTCGCTTCAGTCGTGTCCGACTCTCTGCGATCTTACGGGCTGTAGCCCGCCAGGCTCCTCTGACCGTAGGATTCTCCAGGCAAGAATACTGGAGTGGGTAGCCATGCCCTCCCCCAGGGGGTCTTCCTGACCCAGGTCTCCTGCATTGCAGGCAGATTCTTTCCCATCTGAACCACCAGGGAAGACTGCCGCTCTGGTCCAGAACCAGTAGCGACTCTATCCCTACAAGCTGAGTTGTGCTACCATTTCTAACCATCTCAAGCGGTCCATCCAGTACATGCCTCCGCCTCGCCAACCTGACTATCTTCCCAAGTCCTCATGAGATAGAGCCGCATGGTTAAAATGCCGGTTTGTCCACTCTTACCTACCTACCAATCTTCCTTCCTCCTTCCCTCCTCGCCGTTCCCAGGTATCCTCACACTATAATCCGAGCCACTAACAGTCTCAGAGGGCACCTCTGCCCCGGGGGAGAACAGTCAGGTGAAACTGAACAAAACTACACATACACTCACCCTCTGACCCAGCAATGCCTCTTACGAAAAGCTACCCTGAAGATACACCTCCACTTATACACAAACACAAATGCACAAGCTTACTCATGTCAGCATTATTCGAAATTATGCAATATGGCCAACGTTTAAACGCCCAAATATAGGAAAGTGGTCAAAATAACAACAGCATGTTATACATGTTGAAGCAGTAGGCTGTGCTAAACAAGAATAAATAAATCTTTATGAAGTCGATATGGAGTGATTTCCAGAAATCAAAGATTATCATTTAACAACAAAAACAGTCAACGGGACTAAGAGGAAAGCTGTTACAAAAAGGTATAAATTCACAGGTAACCACTAGGATGTGAAATACAAAAAGAGAAAAAAAGGGTGAGTCTCTGACTTTTGTTATCAGGAATCTAAGACAAACCACAGATCACTGCTGAACGTCGTGCACCAGTCTAGGACACATGGCATCTAAATTCCCATTTCTACTTGTGAAAACTTGGAAAACACCACGCTGGACACATCGAAATGGTGCCGTATCCACAACCAGCCCATTCAGCAAAGCAGGGGTGGGAGAAAGTGAACTTTGGGAACGAAATAGTCAACATTTAAGTAAGTCGTGTCCGACTCTTTGTAAACCCATGGACTGTAGCCCACCAGGCCCAAGGCTCCTCTGTCCATGGGATTCTCCAGGCAAGAATACTGAAGTCAGCTGCCATTCCCTTCTCCAGGGGATCTTCCTGATCCAGGGACAGAACCCTGGTCTCCTGCACTGTAGGCAGACTCTTGACCATCTGAGCTACCAGCGAAGTCCTATTTAAATATGAACTGTGGTATAATGGCAGGAAAAATCAGAACTGTGATGGACTTGCTATTGTTCATCTATACCACTTAGTACTGCTTTGATTTTGAATTTTTTTTTATTTTTTTGGACAGGGTTCAGGGCCGGGGTAAGGGGGGATTCAGAGATCCTCCTCCGAGAAGCCCAGACGCTGCGAACGGAGAGCGGTGTTTTGCGCGCTCACCAGCAGAGGGCAGCAGTGCCCGCCGGGTCTCGCAACGTCCCGGAAGCGGAGGCGCTCGGCTCCCGGGGGCCTCAAGCCCACCTGGCGATCGCGAACTCCAGGCTGGGTAGGGAAGGTGGCATGCAGCGGGGCAAAGGAGATGTGGAGGTACTTGAAGTTAAACATAGCAAATCTGGGAGTCTTCTCAATCTTCCAGGAACAAAAATCATAGGAAAACCCACCATTTAGAAGCTGAATGTGCTGTGCTGAGTCAGACTCCTTGCTACCCGATGGGCTGTAGCCCGCCAGGCTCCTCTGTCCATGGAATTCTCCAGGCAAGAATACTGGAGTCGGTTGCCATTTCCTTCTCCAGGGGATCTTCCCCACCCCGGGATAGAACCCGCATCCCTTCCATCTCCTGAGCTGGGAGGTGGGTTCTTTGCCACAAGCCCCTGAAAGCTAAATATGACCTTCAAAACACAGTCCCTGATTTTAGTTACAAGTGAAGCAAAAGATCTAGTTAAATTCGTATTCCCTATTACAGACACGGATGACTGGAAAGCATAAAGATAATTTATTATTTCCTTCATTTAGTCAACCACATGGTGATTCAATCCTTACTATGTGCTCAACTCAATGTCACATGTCAGTAGGGGAAAAGAAAATGTAGACCCAGCCAAGGAGACAATCTAAATATCTTTTTACAGAAAGTCCAAGTCAACAAATTTTCAAAAGTGGGTTACAATGATGCCAATATGTACTTAAAAAATAACTTTTAACCAAAAAATGAATAATTAGCATTGACATGGAAGTCAGTATTCTTGGTTAGCTCAAACCACAGAAAACAGATATTTGAGCCATATGGCTGCTTCTAAAACTCTGTAATTTCTTCATTTCTGATTTTCTTGGTAAACTATATTGTTCAAGCTTACAGGGAAATATCTATCTTGGTTTATATTTTAAATTAGCCTAATAACAATAATAGTAATGGCACCAAATTCTTACAAAGGATTTACATGAGCTCGGTACTTCTTAAAGCACCCAAGAAATACTGAGTCATTAATCTACACAACAACCCAATGAAATAGATACTCTTATGACTCCTTATGTCAGAGGCTCAGAGAGGTTAAGTAGCTTGACCAAGGCCACACAGCCAGTGTGACAGAGTGGGATTTGAACTCGAGACTCCAGGCCCCTAGCTATGATATCACCCTTACTATTGTCCAGCACTGACCACAGCATAGTCCTCCAGGAGGACTGATCTTCTATACAGAATTAATTCCCTCTCACTCCCTGGATTGTCACCTTCCATCACTCTGGAGTGACAGATCACCCATCCTTACCTCTTCCCCTTCCCATGAAGGGCCGCATTATATGAACTGTGAAGTTTAAGAGAAGATAGAATTCTTTGTTCTTAGTTTGGCTTTATCCTAAAAGAACATCACACCTCATACTGACCTTTTTCTCATATTCTGTGTTGGTAATTTACGTAACTGGTTTTTGTGACTTTTTCACAGAAGCTGAATTTAAGTATAGCTTACAAAGCAATCACACAAGTTACCTAGACTCAAAACATCTGTTCCCCTCCCTCCCCGCTTTCTCCCCAAGGTAATTTTGCCAGGTCATGTAGCGGCTTCCTCCCAAATATTCCCCAAAACGTCTCCTAAATCTTCTTTTCCATTTCAGTAGCAGCTCCTAATGCTCCTTACCCCAGCTTTATAACAGCCTCTCAACTGGTCTCCAGACCCCGATTCATCCCACAAACTACTGCCAGATGAAGCTCCGGAAGCTACATATAGATCAGATCGTATTTCTTGCTCCGAAATACTGTATGGCTTCACTTGTCTACAAAATTAAGTCTTTTCACCTAAGCTCCCACTAGTTTCTACTGCTCTCTGGTTCATAAAGGTACTTCGCCCCATAGGTAAATTCATGAAGACAGAAAGTAGAACAGAGTTCGCCAGAGACAGGGGAGCGGCGAGTGGGGGAGTCAGTGTTTAATGGTCACAAACTTTCTCTTTGTTTTTGAAATAGCAGTAAAGGTTATCCAACATTGTGAATGTAATTCATACCACTGAACAATACAGGTAAAAATGATGACAATGTCAAATTGTATGCTTTATATATTTTAGCACAATAAAACCTTAAAAACATTCATTCTAGCACAACTAGACCAACGTGCTTCCTTCCTCTCTGAACTCCATTCCCCAATTAATCTTTAGCTTTACACAAGGCAGAAAAAAATGGCTTCTCTGCATTGTCAATGATTTCTCAAACCTTGCAAAGCTTCCTGTGTCCTCCTCCTGATCAGGGAAGTATTAGAATAAACATTTCAGACCACCTCTAGTGACTATTGCTTTTTAGGTCACAAGTTTATAGGGACAGTCTTTTTTTTTTCTTCTCAGAAGTGAGTACAGGCCTTCTAGTATGAGCCTACAGAAACAGCGACACAGGTTTATATCATGGACACTGCTTTCTAATCAGATAGATGGTCTCTCAAAAAATATTTTCTCCAAGGAGGTCATGAGTGCTCGAGACCATCACTCCATGTACTGTGGTCTTATCTTTCCCTTTTCAGAGGCATGGACAGGGGAGCCTGGCGAGTTACTGTCCATGGGGTTCAAAAGAGTCAGACACAACTGAGCAACTTAACAGGTGCATGCACACATCTGCTTAAAAGGCTACAGTTACTGAGCCGCAGCTTTATTGTCACTGCAGGAAGGTCTGAGACTGAAGAGTTCACGTGTCTAGAGGACGGGTCTTAAGCAAGCTTGACTCCAAGAATTCTGTACTTGAAACAGGACGGTCCTAGTGTAGAGCACAGGGAACTATATTCAAAACCTTGTAATAACCTAATACAGAAAAGCATCTGAGAAAGAATAGATATATATGTGACTGAATTACTCTGCAGTACACCTAAAACTAACCCAACACTGAAAATCAACTATACTTTCATTTTTAAAAATCAATAAAAAAATAAAATTAAAAAAACTCTGCCCTCAGAGAGGATGAGGAAGGATTCTTGGAACATGGCACCAAGAAATCAGTGCTTTGCCTCCACGCTCACCTCCTCTCACCTGCAGCTCACGGGGTCCTCCTGCAGAAGCCCAAGGACAGCGGGGGTGCAGGTGAGGCCATCAGCTCTGTGGGGTGGATGAAATTACTAGAAGCATTTTTCCCCTTGGGCTGGGCAAGCACCTGGAGCCCAGACTGAGGAAGACCAAGGATGATGACAAGATAGTGGCAGAGGCTGGAAAGAGTCTGGTAGTCATCCGTGACTCCGGTGATGCAGGGTGACAGGGAGGGAGCTCCTGGCATTGGGCCAGGTGACACCCCTGACTGATACTGTCCCCCCTCGCCCTCAAACTGCAGCGCCCCCCGACATGCACACAGACACTCAGAAGAATGGTCTGAGGCCGCACTGGCCACTCTGCCACAGGGCAGCAGCATCTAGGAGAGAAGGACTGCAAACAAAAAGTCCAGTATCCAGGCAAAATCTACTAATTGTCAGAAAGATATTTGAAAATTGCCAGGAACTATGAGACCCAAATACCCCTCCCAAGGAAACAATTAAGAATCAAAACCAATCACAGATGAACTGGAGAGAGCTCTGATGATGGGAGAAGATGAACTTGGAGAGGGTCAAACCACTCAACAGGGTATAAAGGGCTGTTCTGTAAACACAGAACTGACATTTGTTAAAGCAATGTGACAGACACAGCATTTATGCACCAAGTCATAAAAGCTAAAGACACAAAGCAAAAACGATGACAAATTCATGAACTATTTGACAAGATTACTATTATAATCAGAGGCTTCTTGATATCTCCTTTAGATAGCATATCCAGCAAGGAAAAGAAAAAATAAAAGCAAAAGGATAGAGGAATTAAATATACAATCAGTAAGTTGGATATAACTGGTACTTATAGAGTCTTAAATCCACTGAATAAAGAATGCACCTTATTTTCAAAGGTACAAGAATACCTATTACAACTTATAAATAAATGATATATAGCCACAATTAAAATCTTAAACATTCAAAAGCATACAGATTTCACAGCTTTTCAATTCTCACTAAATAAAACTGGTTGTAACTAACTCATAGACACAGAAAACAAACTTCTGATTGAAGGAGAAAGGTGTGACAGAGAGAGGGGTCAGTTATTAGGTTGGGATTAACATTTCCACGGTCATACAGATACAACAGATAAGCAGCAAGGACCTACTGTATACCTAAGGACGATTATGGGAAAAGAGTCTGACGAAGAACAGACATGTGGAAATGGATAACTGAAACAGGTGGCTGTATACCTAAACAAACACGACTTTGTAAATCAACTGTATTCCAGTATATGATAAAAATTAATGTTAAAAAGAAAGGAAAAGAAAATGAATGGCAATGGTATTCCGCTCAGGCCTGGGTGACCTGGGGTGCAGACACATCCCTGGGGCCTGAGTATTCTTGGGGCCCACGGCTGGACTGGGGTGGAGCTGAGGGAGCCGGGGAGGACGTGCCAGCAAAGGAGCCCCCATGAACTTGGGGTGCCTGGTCCCCAGGGGTGCATGGGACCCCAGATCCAGGTGGGCCCTCCTTAGAGCTCAACCAAGCCTAGTGCACCCCCCAAATGGTGGACCCTCTGGGCAGAAAGAGCTTTGAAAAGGCACCTGGTCTCTAAGCTTCCTTGTGTCGGGGGGTTCCCACCAGCAGACACCTTCCTGGCAGTCGCCCCACCTGAGTACCACAGCACCTTCCGGAGTGCAGTTTGGGGGAGGGCTTGGGATTTCTCTGGGGGTGCAGGATATGGGGGAAGGAGTCATGAGACCCGAGCCATGGCACAGTCCACTGTAATCTACAACCCAGGAAGAGGACTTTGGCCAGAGCACCTGTTGCCCCAGCAACCTGAGTGAAACATGAAGATGTGCGCCGCCTTGTGGACATTTCTTATAACAACAACTTGAAAACCGGCGCGTAGGGGCCCTAGAAATTCCCAAGGCCTGACTTAGCAGCAGCAGCCGAACTGTAAAGGACACTTGCCCTCAAGCAGTGTCCTGGGGTGGGTAAGCAGACAAAAAAAAAAAAAAAAAGGAAAACAATTCAAAACAGGGTGGACCTTCAATAAATCAACCTCAAGACGTCACCTCAAGTAACAAACACTGTTTTCTTCTCTCTTTATTCTTGAAAGCACATGAAAAGATGCTCCACATCGCTAATTATTAGAGAACTATGAATCAAAACTACAACGAAGAATCATCTTGCACCAGTCTGAATGGCCATCGTCAAAAAGACTACAGACAATAATGCGGGAGAGGGCATGGGTACAAGGGAACCCCCCTGTGCAGTTACTGAAAACATAAGTTGGTAGCAGTCACAATGGAGAACAGCATAGAGGTGTTTAAAAAGCCAGAAGCTAACACAGGATCGGCGTTCTCATTCCAGGGCTTCCACCCAGAGAGAAATCATGCTTCGAAATGATACACGCTCCCCAGTGTTCCCTGTAGCACTGTTTACATTGATTGAGACACTGAAGCAAGCAAAATGTCCATTATCAGCTGCATGGAAAAAGAAGATGTGGCATATATATATGTATACATAAACATACACACACACACACACACACACACACACACACACACACAATACACACATACAAACAATGAAGGGCTTTCCTGGTGGCTCAGCAGTAAGAATCCGCCTGCAATGCAGGAGACACATGAGACGTGGGTTTGATCCCTGGGTTGGGAAGATCCCCTGGAGAAAGGCATGGCAACCCACTCCAGTATTCTTGCCTGGAGAATGCCATGGACAGAGGAGCCTGGCAGGCTACCGTCCATGGGGTCGCAGAGAGTCAGATACGACTAAAACGACTGAGCACGCACATATGTACAGTGGGGTATACCTCAGCCACAAAAGCGAATGGCAAAATGCTTTTTCCTGCAACTGGATGTGCCAGGAGGTGATCACACTAAGTGAAGGAAGTCAGAGAAGGACAGATAGCTCATGATATCCCTTATGCTCAGGATCTAAAAATCAACACAAATGAACTCATTTACGAAATGGAAACAGACTAACAGATGTAGGAAACTAACTTCTAGTTATGAAAGGGGAAAACTGGCTGGGCTGAAGGGATAAATTAGGAGGATGGGATTAACATATACACAGAATATTATATATATATATATGTATATATATCCTGCTAGAAAAGACCCTGATGCTGGGAAAGACTGAAGGCAGGAGAGGAAGGGGCTGACAGAGGATGAGATGGTTGGATGGCATCACTGACACAATGGACATGAGGTTGAGTAAGCTCCGGGAGTTGGTGATGGACAGGGAGGCCTGGCGTGCTGCCGTTCATGGGGTCGAAAAGTAGGACTTGACTGAACTGAACTGTACTGATGCCCCAGGAACCTGAGTGAAACATGAAGAACTGCTGCCCCCTTGTGGACATTTCTTATAACTACAACTTGAAAACCGGTGCATAGGGGCCCTTGAAATTCACAAAGCCTGCCGAACTGTAAAGGACACTTGCCCTCAAACAGCGTCCTGGAGTGGGTAAGCAGACAAAAAAGAGAAAAACAGTTCAAAACAGGGTGGACCTTCAAGAAGTCAATCTAAAGACGCCACCTTAAGTAACAAACACTGATTTCTTCTCTCTTTTCTTGAAAGCACATGAAAAGATGCTCCATATGGCTAATCATTAGAGGATTAGAATACACACACACATACCACAAATAACCAACAAGGACCTACTGTATAGCACAGGGAAGTCTACTCAATGCCTTGTAATAACAACACATTGAGTATATGGTAGAGTGCAAGGAAAAAAAAGATAAATATATATGTGTGTGTAACTGAGTCACTTTACATCCTAAACTTACAAAACATTCTGAGTTTCAAGTATATTTCAATTGAAAATTTGAAAAAAGATGTGAGTTAGATAAAACAATCAGAAATCTCATCCATGTGGAAACTAAAAAGCAGCTGGTGATAATCTGTGGATTAAAAATGAAACCCAGAAGAGAAATTAACAGCTATCCAGAAAGCAGTGTATTGCAAACAACATCCATAAGGTAGAGGGAGACCCATACTCAGAGTTCTTGATCTTGAATATACTTTTGGTTAAACAGAGTCTAAGATTTCACTTTTATAATTTCCTAAGGAGAACAACAAACAAAACCTAAAGAAACTAGCAAGAAGGATCAGATAAAGATAAGAAGATAGCAGAGGATAAATAAATCCAAATGTTACTTCTGGGTGATGAACAGATTCAACGGGTTAGATCTGATAGACAGAGTGCCTGAAGAAATATCGACAGAGATCCACTGACACTGTAGAGGTGATGGTGACCAGAACCATCCCCAAGAAAAAGAAACACAAGAAGGCAAAGTGCTTGTCTTAGGAGGCTTTACAAAGAGCCAAGGAAAAGAAGTGATAGGCAAGGGAGAAAGGGAAAGATATATTCAACTGAAGCCAGAGCTCCAGAGAATAGTGAGAAGACACAAGAAGGCCTTCTTCAATGAACAATGCAAAGAAATAGATAGAAACAATAGAATGGGAAAGGCTGGAGATCTCTTCAAGAAAACTGGAGATATCAAGGAAACATTTCATGCAAGGATGGGCATGATAAAGGACTGAACCCATAAGGACCCAACAGAAGCAGAAGAGATTAAGAAGAGGGGGCAAGAATACACAAAAAAAAACTGTACAAAAAAGGTCCTATGACCTGGATAACCATAATGGTGTGATCACTCACCTAGAGTCAGACATCCTGGAGTGTGAAGTCAAGTGGGCCTTAGAAGCATTACTACAAACAAAGCTATTGAAGGTGATGAAATTCCAGCTAAGCTATTTCACATCCTAAAAGATGATGCTGTTAAAGTGCTGCACTCAATACGTCAGCAAATTTGGAAAACTCAGCAGTGGTCACAGGACTGGAAAAGGTCGCTTTTCATTCCAATCCCAAAGAAGGGCAATGTCAAAGAATGTTCCAACTACCTTAAAACTGTGCTCATTTCACATGCTTGCAAGGTAATGCTCAAAATCCTTCAAGCTAGACTGTCGCAGTATGTGAACTGAGAACTTTCAAATGTACAAGCTGAGTTTGGAAGAGGCAGAGGAGCCAGATATCAAATTGCCAGTGTCCACTGGATCATGAGGAAAGCAAGGGGATTCCAGAAAAAGCATCTATTTCTGCTTCATTGACTATGCTAAAGCCTTTGACTGTGGATAATAACAAACAATATGCCAGCAAATCTGGAAAACTCAGCAGTGGCCACAGGACTGGAAAAGGTCAGTTTTCATTCCAATCCCAAAGAAAGGC